AATCTGTAGACATTTCTTTTGATCGAAAATTTTTGATAGTCATATGACTAAGGTGTAATGAGGTGTATTTTGTAAAACAAAATTCTCTTTTGGTATAATATAAACTTGGCAGTTCTTTTAACTCTTTATATTCTGAAATTTGATTTTCTTGATATGTTTTTATTTTACTGTAAAATGTTTAATATGATTTTAATCTAAGGATAAAAATAAATAAATTAGGGAAATTAAGAGTAGTGCGTCACATATCCCGTGACCTAGCTGACTGTGATAAAAAAAAACTCTCAAAAGATCAGTTGGCTATGGTCTTGTTAAATTCAATAAGTGATAAATATAGAGATTTTAAAAATACTATTGAATATGGGAGGGAGACTCTAAATACTGATGTGATAATAAATGCTTTGAAAAACAAATAGTTAGAGTTAAAATCTGACAAAAAGGAATCTGTTAGTGGTGAAAACTTGATGGCTAAATCCAAAAATTATCAACTTCAATAAGAAATCAGGACCTAAGAAGAATGTGAACTTTAAAGAGAAAATTAGAAATAAGACAAAGGGTTAAAAGTGTTTTTACCATTCTAGGTGAAGATCATTTTATCAAAGATTGCCATAAGAGAATTAATTATTTGAGGAATAAGTCTAATAGTGGTGGTGGTACTACTTTGGCCTATAATAATGAGTCCAACATAGATGAGGTTTTTGTTGCTATTCACAGTCCACCTAGTCAGGAGTGGATCTTTGACGCTGGCTGCACCTTTCACATGTGCCCTAAAAGAGAATGGTTTACAGAGTTGGAGAATGTAAATGGAGGCCAAGTTTTAATGGGTAATCACATGTCTTGTCAAGTAAAAGGAATAGGAACAATCACCTAAGGCTTAATGGTAATAATGAACTGAATCTAGAAAAGGCCAGATATGTTCTTGATTTACAAATAAACTTGATTTCCTCAAGTGTCCTAGATGACTTGAATTATAATATTATGATTAACAAGGGATACATTAAAATCTTGAGGGGCTCTCAATGTATTGCAGAAGTTCCCAAGAGACATAGGCTTTACATTTTACATACTCAAAATCTTTTTTGACTCCATATCAGCAGCAATTTCTACCCTCAATGACATGTCACAAATATGGCATAAAAGATTATGCCATATTAGTGACAAAGGCCCACAGATTTTGAAAAAACAAGTTGCCTTTGGTAAAGATGTGATTGTGAAATGCAGTTTTTGTGATCATTAGATACTAAGAAAGTAAAATAGATGGTAAATCTGTGTCCATTCTTGAATATTTGCATGCTGATCTTTGGAGACCAGTTTCAGTATCCACACATACTAGTTTCAGATTTTTTCTGTTAATCATAGATGATTTTTTTAGGAAAAATTGACTCTTTCTTCTTAAACTTAAGTCTGACACTTCTAATGCTTTAAAGAATGAAAAATCTTGATTGAGAATAAAAAAAATAAAAATATTAAAGTGTTAAGAAATGATAATGGGCTTGAATTCTGTAATTATGAATTATGCAAATTGCATGGTATTTTAAGACACATAACGGTGACACACACTCCACAACAAAATGGCTTGGCTGAAAGAATGAACAGAACTATTTTTTAGAAAGTTAGTTGTATGTTGTTAGGTTCTAGTCATCCCAAGTTATTTTAGGAAGAAGCTGCAAAAACTGCTAGTTATCTCATAAATAAAAGCCCCGCTAGTACTATACAATTTAAATCCCCCGAAGAAGTTTGGACAGGAAAACTTGTAGATTTGAATAATCTGAAAATATTTGGATGTGCAGCTTTTGCACATCAATCTGAAGGGAAACTTAAACCTAGAGTCATTAAGTGTGTTTTCTTGGGCTATGATAAAGGGGTATAGACTTTGGGTAAAAGAGACCAAAGCTTATAAGATAATTTTGAGTTGAAATGTGGTGTTTAATGAGTCTGATGTGCCTTGTTTGAAATTTGAAAAAAGACCTTAAAGAAATAGGTCAGACTGAAAATGAAGGAAAGGGAAACTAAAATTGAGGTGGAGCAAGATAATAATGATAATCTACAACTTGATCAAATTGAAAATAGTGATGTTGAGGCTCAAAATAATGATGAAACTAATCAAACTAAATCTGATTTTGAAGTTAATCAACCCTTGAATGATTATCAACTTACTAGAGATAGATAAATGAGATAAATAAGACCACTTGTGAGATTTGTTGATGAAATATCCCTTATGACCTTTTAGGGGTTCATTGAGAATGAACCTAAGTCCTTTAAAGATGCTATGAGTAGCAATGACTCTAAGCATTGGTTAGCTACAATGCATGATGAAATGGAATCATTAAGAAAGAACAGAACTTGGACCTTGGTTAAAAGACCTAAGGGTAAGAGAGTTATTGGTTGTAAGTGAATTTATAAAAGCAAGAGAGGTGAAAAAGACATTAGATACAAAGCAAGACTTGTGGCTAAAGGCTTTGCTCAAGAGAGGGAATAGATTTCAATGAAATCGTTTCTCTAGTTATAAAATTCACAACTGCTAGAGTCATACTTGCCCTAGCTGCTCGGTTTAATTGAGAATTGGATCAATTGGATGTAAAAATTGCTTTTTTAAATGAGGATCTTGAAAAAAAAAATTTATGGAGCAACCCAAAGGTTTTGAAGTGAATACAATTACTGACTTAGAGTGCTTTATTAAAAAATCACTTTATGATTTAAAACAGGCCCTAAGACAATAGTACAAGAGATTTGATACTCTTGTGCTTGGACTTGGTTTTAAAAGAGTAATTTCGATACCTGTCTTTATTGTAAAGGAAATGGAGGTGTGAATTCACTCTATCTTCTTCTCTATGTGGATGACATGCTTTTAGCAAGTCATGACATAAAGAAAATAGAGTCAGTTAAAAACAAATTAAAATCAAAATTTGAAATGAAGGATTAAGTCCTGTTAGGAAAATATAGGGTGCTGAATTTAAAAGAGATAGAATAGAGGGCACACTAAGTCTAAATAAAAAATCTTATGTTTTGAAAGTGCTTGAAAAAATTGCTATGTCTGAGGCTAAAAGTGTGAGTTTACCTTTAGCACTTCAAACTATCATATGATCAATGTCCTAAAATTGAATATGAGTTTAAAAGAATGGTTAGAGTGCCATATTCAAAAGCAGTTGGGTTTGTTATATATCTAATGATCTGTACTAGGCCAGATTTGGCATTTTTAATAAGTGTATTGAGTATATACATGTCCAATCCTGGTGTCCATTGGGAAGTTATGAAATGGCTTCTTAGATACATTAAAGGGACTTATGACCTAGGGACTGAGTATAAAAAGTAAAATGAGGGCGTTATCTTGAGGGTTTACACAGCTGACTATGCAGGCGATAGGGATAACAGAAAATCAACCTCTACCTTTATATATACTTGTCTAATTCCTGTATAAGCTGAAAATCACAATTACAAAAATAGTTGCATTATCTTCAACAGAAACAGAATATATAGTTGCAACTGATGCTATTAAAGGGGGAATTTGGCTAAAAGAACTTTTAAATGAATTTGGCTTTACAAATGATGTTGTCTTACACTCTAATAGCCAATATGCTATATACTTGAGTAGAAATCCTTTCTTACATAACAGATCAAAGCATGTTGATGTGAAATTTTATTTTATAAGACATGTAATTGCTAAAAGTCATGTAAAACTTGAAAAGATTTCTACACATTACAATCCTGCTGATGTTGGAACTAAAGTGCTACCTTTAAACAAGTTTTTGGATTGTTTAAAATAGCAGAATATTAACTCTTACTGATTTGTGTATTAGGAATAAGAGCAAATGATGTCATGTCTGGAGGAATTACTATAAATGATGTTGAAATCATTGTACCAAGGTGGAAAATGTGGAGATTGGCACAATGATGATTGGGCTGGTTTATTACTGATGTGAGGCTTGTGGGCCGGGTTTGCAAATTGATTAAATGGTGCTATTTTTTCTTGGTAAAAATGTGTTCTAGAAACACGCTTTCTCTTATAAAGAACAGACGCTTCAGATCTTGCCTTGTGTCAATTTTTACATCGTTGGATTGAAACCTTCTAGTGGCTTCAATATTTATCTGGCTCTAGGGTTTCCGGCTGCGAGACTTTTTCTTTTTCTCTGCCTGTCGAACTCTCTCTATGGCTCTGTGTGTTCTCTCTCCAAAATCGTAGCCCGTTTGTGATGAAAAATCACCAACCTTATATAGATCTTGAGTGATTGATGTATAGGCTTTTGATCCTTCATTCTTGAGTGAATGTTGTAATGATTTGTGAGGCTTATTTTTGAGAAATCTTGCGTGATTTTTGCCGAATGCCATGGAGTTTGTACTGGACCGTTCGTTTTGATGATTTCATTGATATAGTGATCTCCTTTCAATGGCAAAAGCTTAAAAGAGAATTAAGAACATTTTGCCTTAGGGCGAAAATCTCGTGTTCCATTTTTGTGTTTTTGTGGTTTTTTAAGTTTCATGTTTTATTATTTCATATTTTTGTTGATTTAAAGTTGACTAATATTGTGAACTTCTCGTAACACTTCCGAACTTTAGTTTTGAAATGAGTTCCAAGTTCTCACAGTATCCAATAAAAATTGACAGACTTCTGGTTTGTAACTAATAACGAGCACGAAAAAGAAAAAGGAAACAGGAAAAAAGAGATGATATAACCGTTTGGGTGTGGACACAGGTCCATCAAAGACCTGTCTTACCAACCTGTTCGTCCTTTCACTCGGATAGAGGAGACTTTAGCCCGTGAATGGGCACGAGATTCCCCTCCTCAGCGGTCTGTTTTTTGTGAACTTTACCTTTCCTTCCCACTCACTCTTCTTTTCTTGTTTCCATCCTCCTTTTGATTTTTCAGTGTTGAAAGTTGGATATGAAAGTTAAAATAACGAATAAGACTGCACCATCCACTTTGAATACAAAATGGTCTGTTCCACTAAGAAAAGGTATACGTGTAGTGACTTAGATTTACTAAAAGAACTGCTTAACACAGAAAATATCAATTCTTAACTAAAATGGTTCTTGGTCTTTATTTGAAAATAAAAATTAAGTCTAACAGAGAGAACAAAACAAAAACAATAAAAATAGAGGAACAGTACGGTGACAATGCTTAGGCACCAATACAACGTTCCAGGAGATAAAAAAAAAAAAAGAAAAAAAGCGCATTACAGGTAAGCAATTAACATAGTCATACAAGTATATTGGCGAATTACAGCTGTTTCAAAAGTCATAACAAGTTAGGTATTATTTTTGAAGCCAAACAAGACGATCCAGAAAGAAGGTATGCTAACTCCAGATAAGTGATAATACGCATTTTTCTTTTCTCAGCTCATATTCCATCGTACAAGTTTTCGGCAACATTACCATCACCGGTAGTTCAAACTCAGACCCCAGGAATGGCAAAACCGTCCTTTTCTTCCGCTCAGCTGAGCCACAAGACAGCTCAAAAGTAGGGATGTCCCATTGGTTACCATCTCATCGTTCCCCAAAGAAACTATAAGCTGCCAGCATCCATTTACCAAGCTCAATCCACTGATGGCGGCTCTACAAAACTTGCTGGCTCAGGAACCATCTACACCCTTGACAGAGTAATCGAATGAGCTTTTTATTTACTGTTCTTATAGTATCCTGATATTAAAATTCTCAGATTTTTAAACCCTTGGTGAAAGGGTTGTTAATGTGAGAAAGAGGATTACGGAAAAACTGTCCAGATAATATACTTATATACATGATAACCTGCAATGAAATCAATTGCATTAGAAGGTTACAGGATTTGTGGCAATTTCTCCAAAAAAATTTCTTCAATCAAAGTATTGTACGCTGACTGAATGAGGGCCAATGAAATGAGATCTAGTGTATATCTCCCATCTTTGATAGCCAAAAAAAAATTAGGGACAGTGTTCCAAGTCCTCAAAGCCAAAACTGTCTCTGTCACCCACTTAGAAGAGCTATCAGATACAGTGTACATAAACTTGAGTAATTAGTCATTTCATGCAGACAAATGCAGTTTGTTGATTTTAAGGTGAAAAAGGATTAAAAATAATATTTTCCTGCACCAGGACTCGTACATGAGTGAATTTTCTTTAACCCGAAATTAGAAATCCACCCAACGTTCCTTGAGCTCTCTTTTATTACAAGCCATACTGAAAAGGCCTATCTGTCAAACTCCACAGGAAGGGAAACAAATTATTACATGAGTTGAGTGTCTGCCATGGTTTAGTTTCACACTAGTAACAATTCATAACCCTAGAGTACAATAGCCCATGTAAAACTGTAAACGAACTGCCTAACAAAAAGCTAAATAAAAACATGCTTAGCATGCAAACTTTGGAAAGGATTCTTAATTATAAAAAAAATAACAATAATAAATTCATTAAATTCTGTTGAGAAGAGAGAAAACTGAACAAAGGAATAACAAATCAAAATCCAAGCATTTTCCAATGGCATCTATCAGTTCTAAGAAGAATGTTTGACCTACCTTTTTCACTCATCCCGTCTCTTCCCTTCTTTCTTTTTCATTTTTGTTCATAGCACCAATTTGAATCCCTCTGAGAGGAAATCATCCCTGAAAGCAGAAGAAGAAAGATGAGGAAAAAATTTCATATCAAGTACAGTGATATGGAGGCAGAAGTAAGAAGAATAGAAACTTAGTCAGATATTCTTTGATCAGACAAAACATTTTTGAGGTAAAGTGCCAAAAAATGAAAGGTAAAGACGTTTTGCACAATAATATTGAAAGGTGGGAACATTTTGTTCTAATTACCCTAAAAATAAATACAAAAAAGCATTAAAAGTTGAAGCAACGCATACATGTCGTAGCTCTGGGCTTCCATGAGTGTTTGTTCCATATCATGGCGCCCAAGAAATGAAGGTTTCAATGTACATGTAGACAAATGCTGTGCCAGATTTATGTCCCTCTGAAGAGACAATGAGGCAAATTATTTAGTGCTAACACGGGTAATAATTTTTAAATCAATATAATTTGAAGGGAAACTTAGGATCATTTCTGGCAAAGAGTTAAGCTTCTTCACGAAGTCCATCAATTCAGAGACAGACTGAGTCTGTACAAGATACATAGAACCCAATCAGAACTCATTTCAGGTACTAGAGCTTGTTTTGTATTACAAATAATGTTCAGATTTAGTCAAAGAATAGCTTGAGAAGCTTTCTTAAAAGCTCTATTTACATAAACCCCAAATCTTCTAACTTGCAAATATGGGAAGACCAGAAAGTCTTTCTCAAATATTGCATGTACAAACTTGGACTAGACATTTGTTGATTCACACCTTAACAGATCTCTTCAATTTATTGTAGGAATATTGAGCAACATTTCAAGTGTTAGTCAAGAGACATAAATTTGGCACCTTTCTGCCAAAATAATTTTAACATTTTTAAATTCATTTTACTCAATTCTATAACCACAATTCAGATGCAATTCAACATCTCTATGTGACATTAGCCCCAGGACATCTGGCATTGGAGGCAAAATTGACAATGTCAATGCTACATGCCTTCATCTGACAATAACTCACAGTGGTGGAAATCTCTGTGTAGTCCTGCTTCATGGATGTTTGCCTTTTGACGTAGAACCTGCAACATAAATAGTAAGGGTGCGTTTGTTTTCCATTTTTGTAAAAATGAGAATGAAAAATATAGTCGTTATGGGCCTCACATAAGAGATAGAAATTCAAATTTGATGACTCAATATAATGGATAACGGTCATATTTTTCATTTTAATGAAGAAATAATGAAAAACAAATGCCCCCTAAATAAACAAAGCTTTAAATATGAATAAATAAAATTTCAGACAAAATAAAAACCGAAGATGATATGCACGTTAATTAAAATAAATTGATTATCAAATCATAAATAGATCACCCTGGACAACAACTTCAAAATTTATATCCCCATCTCTTCGAACAATTTGTCACTAAAACAAAGAAAATGTCAATAGGTAGTCTAATGGAACATCTAAAAGCAGAGAATAGTCCCGTATTATGTGCATATGAACACCACTACACTGTTGGGAATCTACTTATACATGCACAGTGAAAAATTAAAATTATTTCGATTTCCACTAAAGATCCCTTTGTATTTAGATAGAAATCATGATAAATGTTGTACTTTTGAAGAATTTTGCAAATCTTTTGCTTTTCTTTTCGTTCCAGTAATCTTTATTCGCCATCCACAGTTGTCCAATTGTCCAGCGTCCAACGGTGATCCACACAGAGAATAAGATTGCAGCTACTAGGATTTTCTCTCTTGTGCCAACAAGAATAATGAAAATCATATGGATCTCAAATTCTAGTCATGTATTTATATAAACCCAAATGGGTTCGGTCCGGTCAGGTCCAATATTTAATTAATCCATTTAATTAAACTTGGTTCGTGAATTAATTAATTAATTCGAGAATATAAATAACAAATCTAATTAATTAATTTATCCAACGATTATTAAATTAATCAATTGACAATTTACAATCTTCCAATTCTCTTTTGCGTGCGACCCAGTAGGTTCCCGACCAGGATGCCTAACGACGTGAAATATTATTTTGATCTAATCAAAATTGATAAATTAAAATACCCTTTTAATTTATCGTCAATTCATACTCGCCGTCCCTGATTGACATCTAGCAATGTGTCAGGGCAATACATGTGACGAAAAATGTCACGTGGTATGACAAAATCAAATTCGTTCGTTTACCGTGAAACTATAATCCCTTCGTCAATATGATCCAATCAATTATGAGATATGGAAGTGTGTCAATCTTGATCATCGATCATATCTTTCACTCCACTATTAAGTCAATATAAGTTGAAAACTCCTTTTCGACTTATGAGTACACCTTGGCCAAGGATTTCATCATCGACTTAATTGAAGAGTGACGAATCCTTTATTGGTCAATCACAACCTTCATATGATTCTTGACGTACCCGAATGATGTCGTATTAGCGGCCCTTTTTAGAACAACATCCAATACCGTCAAAGTATGACTGTCCTCATATAAGGTACCATGACGACCTCAAGTCAAACGACCAATTCCACTACCGAACGTTAGAGATTAACTACTGACACTCAGATAATTATCCATGTGGAATTTCTCGACGGGTCTCCAATATTTTGTTCTATAACAAAACATCCACGTGTTCATTTAAGTGTCACCACATTTTAACTTGTGAGATCAACTACTTACTTCACAAGTAAGAAATGCCACACGTGATGGTCTATCCGTAACAACGATATCCGTATCTCGTTATTACTTACAAGCACGGATGATTTAAGATTCAATCAGATGCAATTTGTATCTCACAATCATAACTCCTTGTGATTAAGAAATTACGAAGATTTCAATCTACGGACTCTATTATTTATTTAATTGTCTATTAATTAAATAATAGATCTGCCATTAAATTGCATTAATTATATATCAAAAGTATTTATGTTGAAAGTTGATTGGACTTAGGGCATAATACTTACACACGCCACACACGAGATTATCGGAAACAAGCATCCAGAAGAAAAAGTAATTACTCCCCAACGAAAGGAACGAGTTATACTTCCATCAACTGGTGATGCTAAATGAGCCTGATGTGGTAGATGGAACAGTCACACTAATTTCCAGTGGATGAGATAAGGGTAGACAAGCTCCTTAGTTCAATCACCTTATTAACAGATTAAAAGTTTAACGGAAAGAAAGGGAGCGATTACGGAGAAGACCTACAATAACTGGAAAAGAAATGAATGTATCTCAAGTGATTCAGATCATATAGCTATTTTAATCAACCTTGTGAACCACTAGAAACCACATCTATAAGAGACTAAAAGAAGAACAAGAAGAAATGAGACGACCAGCTATAAAATGTGCACAAAAGAAACGCTTGAATAAAGAAGTACGTAAGCAAAAAAAATGCTTTTAAATCCAAAAACAAATAGGATATTGTTGGGCCATTAGCAAACTAAAAATTTTAAATATAATGTGCTAAAACATTTAAGACATGCTTAATTTACCTAGAATTGAGGGGAACTTTAAACTTTTTCCCTTCTTGTTGAAGGCCCATAATAAAAGAATCTAGCTAAACAGCACCATTATTGACACCAAGAAACTGCATCAAACCTATTAGAGATCGCTTATGAACAAATCAAAACAGGAAGAAAAAGAAAAGAGAGGGAACCACCTCTATCATCAATATTGACTAATAAGATTTCAAAGCTTGAGCATTAATGCTTTTGTTCTCTAAAAATCTAAGTCTCTAACATTATTAAGGCTGAGTATCAAACTTTTAAAGGATTCACGTTCTCATTTCAAGTTTATTCAAAAAAGACCATGAGCGGACCCAAGGGGGTCATGCGAACCACTAACTTTTGAGATTTGATTTTTATTTTTTTTTTAATAAGTTCTGTTTGGTATCAATTGAAATATAAATTTTAATATAAATCAAAGTTAACAATTAATTTTAATAAAATATTTCATGAAATCCTTAACTTTTTAACTTTTATCAAAATATACTAAAAATTTAATTTTAACTTCCACCAAACAGGAGCAAAATCACAATAAATTTGAATTTTTTTCCTCTTTTCTCTTGCTCCATCTTACACTCACCCTCGCACATTTTACCAAAATCTTAACCCTTCTAATTTTTTAAAATTTGTCTATAATTTTTTAATAAATTATCATATCTACTTCAAATTTTCACTTTCCAATCAAATTTTCAATTAATTAGAACCTAAATTTGTATTTTATTCTATCCTATTTGTATATATAGAATGTGACCGAATTGATTATATCCAATTTAACTTACATTTAAAGAATTGTATTTGTTTGATTGAATATTTGTTATATGTTTCTTCTTTGGATTACTTGAATTGATTGTTTGTATTAAATACACTATAAATTTTTTAAATATAAATACGTATTTTCTTATGATGAGTAAAATATTAATAAAGTGATCAAATTGATGAAAATGATAAGTAAAATATTAATGAAGAAATATTTTTTTAAATGTAAATCTGCATTTTTTTGATCAATTATAAATCATTCAAAAATCAAGAACAAAGTATTCGATTTGTAAAGATTCTGATTGTACCCCCTAACTAAGAATCTCTGCGTCCGCCCCCTAAAGACTATGAAGATGACAATTATAAAATGTGCAATTCGTATAAGGAATGACACTGATGAATGACATCTCCAATTATCAATGTAGCTCAGAACTACACGCTTTTTGAAAAGGTCAGTCCATCGCGTGACATACAAGAGTTAGTCAACTATTAGGGAATATGCAGAGTCATTCTTTTTCTAACATTGCATTTTCACCCCTGAAGTAGTCCTTCATATATGTTGACTGAGAACACATAGGAGTAACCACGTCCACCTACAATAAGATCACAGAAAATTTGACATCACAAAGACTGATGTAGTTTACAAAAAATACTTTTGAAGACATAATTTAAATAAATAAATAAGTTTGTCCCCTCTAACAACTTAAACCTCTTGATGAGGTAGATCAATATAGTATTAGAGCAAGCACTTGAGTTCAAATTCACTGCCATTTGTTTATGAAAAT